CGCCTGCCTCCCGTTCTTATTCCTTAGAGTTTACGCTGGATATTGGGTGTGGGTTGGAGCTGTGGGTGGTGCAGCGCAAGCCACCCATGGTCCCTCTATAGGCGCAGGCTTCCTGTGGCTTGCCACAGTGACAGGCAAATCCGAAACCGGATGCCGCCAACCATATATATATATATATATATATATATATATATATATATATATATATATATATATATATATATATATATATCCGTCTACCCAGAAGAATTCATTTGGCGGTGAAAGAATGTTCACTGGTCCAGAAAGCATTCATGTTTACTGCGAAATGTTTTTTTATTTATATAAGATTAAATGGCATCTTGAAACGTATTTCACGCGGTAATATGTCGGACAAGGAAGAATTTAGATCGAATAGCTGTCCTGGTTCTTGACGTAATTAGTTTAATAGTCTCGTTGCAGAAACCAGGTTAAGTTATGTCGCAATTCTAAGGTGTACAGATTGTGGTATGTCAGATGATTTATGAGATTGCGCGTGAGTAGGATGCTCTGTTTCAATCGCCGTAAACAAAGAGGTGTAATGTGAAGCAACTGGCAACGCTGCTTTTAGCTCAAGGTGGACACTTTAAGAAGCAGACATTTTTTGATTGATATTTGCAGATTTTCCAAACTTTTGCTGTCACTTGTACGCATGTACTCAAAACTGATGCTACAGTATTCAAGGACAGAAACTGAGGGTATATTGAACAGTTTCTTTTTGCGAGTACTGCATGGATTGCTTGGTATAATTTAGCCATGCTCTGTTTGGCTCGCGCTATTTGATATTCGGCATGCTCTGAAATGGTCATGATGGGAGTTTTCTTTTTTGACAAAGGTTGGACTGTTTTCTAGAGATTCGTTCAGTGTTGTGTTTAACTGACTCTGCAGGTATCGAACCTCGCTAGGATATGATGCCTAATCTTTGGCTGAGAATTTCATCAGTCGTGTGTCAGAACATTTCCCGAGTGTATAAACGTCTCGGTGAAAAGTCAGTACAGCACAATAGAGCTCGTCTCGTCAAAGTTTGCACACTTTCTTAATGCGGTCAGCAAACAAAATATCCTGCTTTGTTTAATGGACATGCTGAAATAGTTAGTATAGAGTAGCAAAAACAAGGATGTCACTACAAGTGACTGGATATGAGGAAGAGTAATGTTTATCAGTGGAACTGCTTGTGAACGCTCATTCAGGTAAGATGTCGACCAACTCGGTGGTAGGTCTAAGCTTCTAAAGAACTTGATATTTTTCAGCACCTGATTTGAGGCACTCGGTCGCATGTTTTTGCCAATCCAGGAATAAAATCCGGACTGCATATCTCGAGTCAGTAAATACTATCAGGTAGCCCAGTAGAACAACTAACCTGCTGTATAAGAACATGCGTCGAGGAATTCATGCTTAAATTTGTGCAGATGTTCACGATTATAAAGCTGATGCTTTCATTTTTAATTACTTTTTCGAACATTGGGGAAGCAAACGCACTACAGTTGCTGCAATCATTAGTGAATTTATGCTTACCAAATATTAGATGCTGAGAACGATTGTCCCCTAGCAATAATATCCCATAACCTTGAATAAAAGGTCAATGTGCGTTAATGTGTTTGAAAGATATCACGTAGTGGCTTGAAAAATGACTAGAATATCGAAAAAGAAACATCCTTTTTAACCATTTGATCGTATGTCGACGAACTTAATATATGTGAAAATCTGATTACTTCTCTACCCCAGCGTTCAATATGCTGCAGCAGCAATCTGGTCATTACCCCATTATTTTACTGAAGTCCCAAGCCGAAACATGTCGGGAGCGAAGCCCTAGTAGTTCACCAAAATGGTATTGTAAATTGATGTAATAACAGATTGGAAGCATTTAAAGTCCGAATTGTGAATCTAGATTCCGAGTTTGCATTGAAACTTCCTACTAGGGGGACTATTCATTATTCGTTAAACGATGACATTGAACTTAGGACCATTCTGTATAAGCGGGCAACTCGTTCGTTTGCCGGTCCATTCATCGTGTTGTCTGGTGATTAAACATTTGCTGTCGCGCACCCTCGCTGTGCACCACTATATTCGATCTGGAACATCAAGTAAACATAGTCACTAATAAAGCATGCCAGTTTACATCGCCCTACTCAACCGCAACTGGGCTTTGGCTGCCGTTAGACGAAAATCAGGTGATTATTTTAAGCAATTTGTGTTAAATCCAGATTCTGTCTCAGTGGCGTGCGTGCGTTGATGGCCAACACCTAGAGCACTTGCTTGAGTTTGGTAACCAACTGTGTGGCCACAACTCAGTGGTGCAGCATTTCAAAAGTTGGCATCACCCTTTCGACTCCCGAACATAATCCTGTTACACAAAGCAAATAGGCAACTGCTTGACGGTGAGAAGTAAGGGCGAGTTTTGCCTTGTTGTTGGCAATAGATGTTCCCGCTTCTCCTTTGTTTGTGCACTGTTTGCTCCAAGGGTTATCTTTTAAAATATAAAATCTGATTGTTGCAGTGTAGATGTAAACGAGCGCTGGTACCATGACTTTACTTTGCCTTTGACTATAGTGTTAAATGAATAAAGCATTGTGCAGCATGTTGCACAGTGTTTACATGGCGGAAATGAGCGTATGTTCGCCCCCATGTCGAATATGCAATTCAAGCCTGGCATCCATGGCTGAAACACGACCTTAATGCACTGGAGTAGCCACAAGGCCGGGCATCTAAGAACGTAATTGGAATGCGCAATCGTTCCTACCAGGAGAGGCTGCGACGACTGGGATTGTTCAGTGGAAGCTATCGCAGGCTACGAGTTGACCTGATTATGACATACTTGATTCTGCGAGACCCACATCATGTGTGCCGCCCTTTACTGCAACTCAGCAGCAATACAAACCTGAGGGGCCACTCATTAAAACTCACAGAACAATACAGTCGTCTGGAGTGCCGCAGAAATTTCTTTTCCATTCGTGTCTGTCACCCGTGGAATGCTCTCCCAGAATCGGTCGTCTCTGCACCGACACTAACAATATTTAAAAGACGGTTGGACGATGCACTCATCCACTTACACTTTGTTACTTAACACTATGTCTCCATCCTACACCTGGAGTTTACCCTGGAATTATTTGTTGTTAACTGTAGGTGTTGGGAATCTAAGTGGATCGCAGGACTGCAGCGAAGCAAACGATAAGTCCTTATTTTCGTATTTAAAGTATTAACTATTTTACTATCCTTTTCATCATAATTGTTATGTTGATATCCTCACCAACTATCCAACAGGGCTTGTAAAGCAACGCTTCTTAACCCGTATAAATTCATTGTTCATTGTTCATTGATCGTTTTGACCAAACATTTTCTTAAATCCGTTAAATTAGACGATAACGTGCTACCAAAGTCATTGCAACAGTATGTATATTCTAAGACTACAGTTCTATGAACAGAACAACGGAATGAATGGCACCAAATAGCATGACATGATGTACTCCCTACTCAGAGCAACTAGTTACTAAATTTTATCCATTGTAGATATTTTCACTAGTACAAGGTGAGTAACTGCTACTATCTGGTAAGAATTATTCACCATAATCACAAAATCCAAGTGCTTATCAGAGCTTTAATTTACCACTCAGAATTGTCCTCATATTCCACTCACCATCACCGAATCGTCCTTGCACTTCCACGTATTATGTTATAGCCATTAAGACATGCAAAATGATAAGTATAAACCTAATGGCTTACACTTCGCGGTATCCCACACATGCACTCGTTATCCAGATGCATTCGGTGTACCCCAACTACATTTCTCCAAAACCCATATATGTCTACGTTCATAGAATCTAAGTCTGCGAACGATCATTTACGGAGTTATGCCACCTTGGATGTCCTACTGGAATTGCTCTGCATTGTTTTTCATCGCGAAGTGATGTAATCCTTCATTGTTATAGTGAAGTATCCAAATCGTTTGTTGTCGCGAAACTTTGTAACCTAATGTGTGTGAGCTTTACATGCTCTTGTGTGACAAATGCAGCAACTCTGTATGTTCCACCTACTAGTATGCCAACGGCGGCTACTCCTTCTCCAGTTCTTCATGACCACCACAGTTCTATGAACAGATTTCCAATAAGCACAACTGTAATAACTTGAACTTGGACCGTGCTTTAATCCTGGTCTAATAAGTTGATATTTGACACAAGCAATTCGTCGAATAACTCGGAACAGAAAAGACGGAAGAAGAAAGCTAGGAAATAACCATACCATTTTTTGCTATTTCATCGATGGCCAAACGCGCTCGTTAGTGCGGTGGGTATACAGCCATCTCAATGCGACCCATGCGTATTTTTTCGATTAAGACAACGGCTACGATGCATTGTATGTCCCGCTGTCTATCCAGATTCATCTGTAGCTGTGAAGAGAGCTGCACTGGATGCCTTGACCTAACTTTGACAGTCAGGATAAATGAACACATCCCCATCTTGTTACGCAGCCAGATTGGCTCTGTGACGACAGAGTCAGTTGAATATGGAAACGGTGCTACCTTTGTATTCACAAAGCACTTGTTTGCCTCTGGGCAACGAGTCAATTCTGATGAGTCGCTCACTTTCCTAGCTCGCGATCATCGGCCCCATACTCTTAAGTGAATGGAGGCTATCGTTATCGGTTAACTGTAGCTGTAAGCCAACGTTGGTAGCAAAAGCGCTTCGCAATCTACTATCTCATAAGACACTGTTGTACATTTTCTATTACTTCTGCATTTTTCTGACTGATGAGAATGCACGAAATGCTGACGTTTTCCAATAAGGCATATTAGCTTTTGCTGTTTGAAATTTGGCATAAAAACCAATTATGTCACCTAAGTTCGTTTCAGGATAATGGAAGATTGAAGTGTATACGCCAGCATCAAACTCAAAATAAACATTTAACTGGTATACATAATAAAAGAAGGTGGAATTATAGCAGAACAGAGTCAGCGCAATTAATTACATGTAGGGCATGCTACTTACTTGCTCCACGACATGAGGGTAGCTGTTGGACCAGCCCCTGCGGTGACTGACATGCAAATTGACAATTCACTGCTTAATGATCGCCCTTCGGCTACAGTGCTCAGTCCGCAGTTTGTCATCCGATAATGCGACATGCTGGATGGTGTAATGTTTCCGTGGGTCAGATTGATTGGATATTTTGATTCCAACTTTTGGGAATGCGATCGGGAGCTCCAGTCACTCCAGATGAGATCCGGTGATTGGTTGCACAATGCGACACAGTACTCAGGGACGCTGCAGCGATTATCTGAAGGTATTGAGCAAATCTGAACACTACGGGTTCCCGACAATAATCCATTTTGTTCACTTGAAATACAGCGGACAGGAATATAATGAGAGAGTGTGCTAACTCCTTTAATTGGTTGACGCTCCCCCTCACAGTAGGACGCTGTCACGAGTGTTGTAGAACCGCATATTCGGTTAGTGTGTGGGCGAGATACCCTCCTTTGACTTATACTAAAAGAAACATTGTCAGAAATACGGTCAAAGAATTTATTGGTGTTACCAGGCAACATATATCCAGTCAACTGTACTCATGTTTTTTATGTAATTATGAGCAAACATAGGAACTCATAGGCTCCAGAACTTTGAGAACTCAATCACTATGAACGTAGCTGGAGTAAAATGGATCACAAAACCCAATTATCCGAGTGTTAAATGATTTCTTTAATCTTTCCGAATCAGTGTACAGTAAAAATGTACTAGGTCAACCTGCGTATAGCGAATAGGCAAGCTTTGGCATGCAACTACAATGGACCGCATATCCCTGCACTTTAAAGGAAGGCTTAGTAATAAATTCGAGAGTAACACACATTAATTAACTTTCATTGCGGCATATGTCATGTATATGGTTGGGGACATCCGCTTTCGGATTTGCCTGTCTTTGTGGCTTTCTTAGGACCGTCACAGGCCTACGCCTACAGAGGGATAATGGTTGGTTTGCGTTACACCAACAACAGTTTCATCCACACACCCAATATCCGGTGTAAATCCGGGAGGCATGTGGATGGGAGCCACGATCCATCAGCGGAGCCGGCCCACACTGCTTCAACCATGAGAGTGGAAGCATTCATGCCTAAATGGGTAATCATGCGTACGAGTTGTACACAAAGCGGTGCTTGGACCATACCCCGTTCCACAATGAATCAATGGATCTACTCTAAGAGCATAGCACCGCCAAAAGGAACCTGCACGCCTTCACCTCCAGCCAAGCACAACTGTCTCCTAGAGCCGATAATCAAGGTGGATGGTATTAGACAGGTGGACACCTTGTTAACTTTCACATCGAACTCAGCCACTCCGGGGATAAAAGTCAATGACCACTCCAATGACCACTCCTTGAAATACATGCAACTCAGCACGCAGAAACAGGTCTAGCTCAACTGCAATGACGATGCACAACACTTACCACATCAGCCGCCCTATTGGATTAGATTAGTAAATTGAATGGAAAGCAGCGAACTTACCAAGCACTGTGCTGATGATGACTACTTAACTAGCTTACGTGTCTTCTCTTAGACGTTGTCCCAAGTTGACGAGACTGGTTGCTTACTAAGCCAGCTTACCTCAGGCATTCGCGACCGCATGTGGTACAGTACATTGTGCTCTACATCGGTGGTCCATCCAGCCTGCGCTCATTTTGCTTCCTCAAACGACGTTTCTTTTCCGCACGCAGTAGTGATTGCGCATGTACCTAAGCAACCGACTTCTTGATATGCCCTCACCATCAGCGCCCATCCACTGCCATCATCTTTTAACGTCTGAAAGCAACATTAGTTCTTGATATACTCATCCTCGTCGATTCTTAGTAACATAAATTCGGTTTTCCCACATGACGCTTCCCTGCACGCAGTTCGCCATAAAGCAGTTGTTTTGGTATCCTTGTCGAATCAATGCAGGGAACATGCTCAAACCACCTTAAGTGCCTCAGTATGCCGTCCACTGCACGGATGCCCCTCCATCAGGGCACCTCCGTGTCTGCTTCTCAGTCACTCCAGCCGATGCGCAGAATACGACGCAGACACAGTTTATGGAGGCGCTCCAGACAATGGACCTCCTTCCGATAAATCCTCCAGCTTCCACGGCCGTATAGAAGAACGGACAGCACCACAGACTTGTCTAACATCAGCTTCGTCCCGTCAATGAGCTGGTGGTTGTTCCATACACGTTTTTCCAGATTGCCGAATGCTGCAGCTGCCTTCAATACCCGCATGCGCAGTTCCGTCATCTGCAGGTCGGCAGCTATTACCCTGCCTAAGAGGCAAAATCTCTAACTGGATTCCAAAACATCGCTTCTGAGGTGAAGTTGCAGCAGGCCCACGGATTTCAGTTTCGGAGAAGGCTGAAACAGACAAAATGTATCTCTCATGTAGATGGTGAGCCAGAGTTTGACCGTTGTTGAAGCGAGAGCCGACGTCATGTGATTCAACTCATCTGCGTTGTGTCTAAACAACGCACAGCCTTTGACAAACGGCAACATGTGGATGCTTGTATCATTCACAAATGTTCCCGCCTCAAAACGACGAATGTTGCTCAAACCCCCATCAACACGGTGCTCCACACAGACACTGTAATCACAAGCAACATCAAAAACACAAGACATCATTGCATGGAGGTGAATACTAACAGGGCATGTGCAAAGATATAGTCTTCCTGCACCCCAGTGACAACAGCAGTCATCCGAGGCTTGTCCACTCAGCTGCACCATCACCCGCAGAACACTGTGGAGGTATTCAATTAAACTTAAAAATCTACTAGGACAATCAAACTTCCCCAACACAAGGTACATTGACTGGAGGTTCACTCTGCCAAATGCTTTGGTGAAGTCAACCAACAGCGAGTACAATGGCTGGTACCGCTCCCTGAAATTTTCCTGCAACTGACTAGCCGCGAAGGTCACATTGCTTTTTCACTACGTTCAGTTCATCCTCCTGAATGACAAGGCGATTGAGAAGGATTTGGGCCATCAACTTGCCCCGAATACAGTGGCCTGAAGCTGAACTTCTCCCCGGCCACTGTGAAGTCGAGAGGAAGTTTACGGAGTTGCTATTTGAAACTGGGGCCACACAGCACATCAACCAACCGACACGCATTACTGCGCGCGCGAATCCATCATGCTTAGACCTGCTGTTGACTAGCTGTGAGCAGCGTGTACATAACATTCAAGTCTTAGAGCCTCTGGGAGCGAGTGACCACTCAGTGATCATAGGCAGTTTAGAACTACCGCTACCGTATCCTCTCCCACTAGAGTCAACCTTCAACTATTGGAAGGCGGACTTTAATGGCCTCATTCGAGCAGCGAGCCAGATAGACTGGTCTTTACCACAGGATTCATCTATTGAAACCTGTTGGGCTATCATTAAAGAGGGAGTGAAATCGTTGTGCGCCCGATTTGTGCCCCTCAAATATCGGAAAGTTGGGCCAGTCAAACCACATTGGTTTGATAAAGAGTACAACAAAATGGCCCGACGGCGACGTAGACTATGGAACAAATTCGTGTTATCTGGCTCTGATGAGGACTACAATGCGTACAAGGTACAACGAAATCGCTGCAACAACGCGAAAACAAGCAAACGCGAAAGTTTCGAGGAGGAGCTTGCAACTGCCGCAAAAACTGCTCCCAAGAGGATCTTCGCATATGTGAAGCGGTGCCTAAGACCTATAGCTAGTATCCCAGTGTTAGAAGGCTCAGAAGGACAGCCTCTAACCTCGAGTACTGATCGTGCGTTAGCATTGGCAACGCACTTCGCCTCCGTATTCGCAAGTGACCAGGTGTCTGTAATGAGTTCGACGAGCACCGCTCCAGCCGAACTTAACTGCCTGGACTGCAATATTGAGGATGTACGCAAGCTTCTAGCAAATCTTGACAAGACGAAACCTGCTGGGCCAGATGGTATACACCCACTAATCCTCAAGTCATTATCGACCATAATTGCACCTTCTGTAACTGAACTGTTTAACAGGTCACTATCCACTGGTCTACTACCGGACGACTGGAAATGCTCAGTCGTAAAGCCTATCCCGAAAGGTGGTAACCCAAGCAAAGTGGATAACTACCGGCCGATCTGCCTGACGGCAGTTTTGGCAAAGACGCTCGAGAAGATTGTGAAGAAGAGCCTTCTGCAACTTCTCGAGTCGAAAAACCTGTTAACCTCCGCACAGCATGGTTTCCTGAAAGGTCGTTCGTGCATCACCAACCTACTGTTGACGAGGCACGAATGGTTACAAGCGCTGAACAAAGGCCAATCGGTTGACGTCATTTACATTGACTTCAGTAAGGCTTTTGACAAGGTTAACCATGCAGTGCTCCTTGACAGACTGAGGATGTGCGGTGTTGGTGGTTCGCTGCACAAATGGATCAGCAATTTCCTTATTGATCGGAAGTGGAGAGCCCAGGTGGACAGCCATCTAACCGACTGGTATCCATCGAGCAGCGGCGTGCCCCAAGGCACTGTACTGGGCCCGATATTGTTTCTAATCCATATAAACGATGTGCCTCAGCTACTACAATCACCTTGTGCTTTGTTCGCAGATGATTTGAAAGTGTGGAGAGTAATCCACACACTCAATGATTGCGATTTACTTCAGCAGGATCTCGACCGCCTCTCAACATGGTCTGCTGAGGTTAACCTTCCGATCAACCCTGCCAAGTCGCAATTCATGAGGTTGGGTAAGTGTGATCACGGCCGAACGTACACAGTGGCTGGACAACCGTTACATCCCGCTCCTTTCGTGCGCGACCTCGGTGTACTCTCACGCTGCGACTTAAAGTCCATTGACAACACGAATAGGCTGTACCAAAACAGCCTTCGGATGCTTTGGGCTCTCAGGCTCAGCTTTAGCACTTGGTCCGAAGAGATTGCCACTCGCCTCTTCGTCTCGATAATACGACCAATGCTAGAGTACGGCACTCCCGCATACTGTCCCATCACCCGGGGCGAAGTAGAAAAGCTTGAGCAGGTGCAGCATGTAGCCACTAGGCTGATTCCCAACTTACGAGGTATGCCATACGAAGACCGATATAAGAAACTAGGGTTATACACCCTATCTTATCGTCGGCTAAGGGTTGACCTCATCATGACGCACCGAATATTACATCTGGGTGATTACCCCATGTTGAGACAACTACTTCATCTGCGCACACCTTGCTGCACGCGAGGACACCGGTATAAACTTATCGTCCCGGATTTGAAGCGGGTCGCCCATCAACTCTGTTTCGAACGCAGAGTGGTGAATGTCTGGAACGACCTGCCTCAGCATATAGTAGAAGCGAACACAGTGGCTAAATTCAAGATGCTACTAGACAAACAATTTGCAGAGGCAAAGTACAAAGAGCGAAACGATAAATAAAAAATTCATGTCCGAAAACGACGAATGATGCAGCTACACAGAGCAAACTCTACTCGCTGCTTCGCACCAGTTCTCAGTTCTCAGTTCTCAACGTCCCCACATAATTCAGCAAGTTGATGTTAAGGTAATTCGTGTAACATTGCTTGCTTGGTTAGCCCTTGAACAGTGGTAGCATAAGGGCATCTTTCGGCTCCTCTGGCACTCGCTTTTCAACCCACACGCGCTGCACTAATTAGTGCAGAGCATGTACCGATGCGGGTCCGAGGTGTTTTAGTGCTTTATACGGGATCCCGTCCGAACCAGCGCACTTGCGGTTTTGCAGCTGAGTATGTGCACCTTACGCCTCATGTAGTGTCAGTGTGTAGGCAAGACACATATTCATCACTTTTTGTTGGAGCCCGTGCAAAGTAGGCCTGTCAATCTCTGGACGGCTGTTTAAGATACAGGCAAACTGCAGTTACCAGATCTGCATTATGTCTGCATCCAGTGTAAAGGAAGTGACTGAAATAAGATCGGGCAGCGTTCTCAGGGACAGCAACGTTGATGCATACATAGCCATTAATGATACACAGAATTTCATGTAGGCATTCCCCTTTTTTATGCTTGCGTCGTTCGGCGTAGCATTCCAACTGCTTTGCCATTCCTGTCCAACATGTACTCTTGATGCACGGAGCTCTGGGGTGGATGGCCGTTGAGGTTTGCGAAAATGACTCAGCTTTCCGCAGACATCATGGTCATCCACTTGTGCAGCGGGCGCTGCATTCTTCGCCACCACCACCATTTCAATAGTCGCACTATTGTCCTCAAACAAATCAGGCCGTTGCAAGTTACGCGCCCGATGATTTCCGCAGCATTAGTTACCTGTTCACAGACGTTGTGTCACCGGTCACTTAAGCTTTGAAATTGACATCAACAAGGCGGGAAGCCATCGACTTCTTCAGTACGATTCTCTTCTTTTTAGTACTCATAGAAGAATGTTGTCTTTCAGATCGGGTCACGGCAGGAGTGCAAAAGGTAGATTTACGAAAATAGATGCACAATTTGGTCCGCACCAACTTGTGATCAATGCCGCACTCAGCTCCACGAAGTACATGTGTCACGCATACTTCACGCATCTCACGATGACATACGATGACAGCCGAGAAGGTGGACATGATCACCCTGTGCGTACGTCCAAGTAGCTATAGCACTCGCACACACTGCAAACCTATTGTTCGTGATCATCCGGTCATGATTGGCGCACAGTGAGAGCAGACGCTCACCATTCTCATTGATTGTGCCAATAACGATCGATTACACCTGTCCACATGGATGCATGACTTCCATCGCGCGCTTTGAAGTTACCCAGTAAAAAATATCCATCGCTTCTGAGCACATGCCGTAGTATGGAGGATAACTGAGTGCAAAACGTATCCCTCGTGCCATCCGGATAACACACGGTGGGACCGTTCATGTTGAGAAATGTCTCAAACTGACCTCCTCCAAGTCCCAGCCGGAGAGTTATCATCCGTGAGATAGAGCCAGTCGTGTCTGACTCAAGCTGGCCATTTAGGCGATCGGACAGTTGCAATCCGACCCATTTTCACGTGGTGCTTTGGTGGTCTTTCCAACCCAGTAGAACGTGTATCAACACTGGCCTCATGTACGTTCCTTTGGTCAGTAAGCCAAGAATCGTTGATTTCAGCAATTTCGACCCCGTAGCGCGCGAATTCCATCGCAACCAGTGCAGCGCGTCGCCCGAGTTAGTCGATCATATCCCACTCGCGCAGTGTGTACACGTTCCAGAACCCGATGTTGAGCGCTTTGAGCGGATGCACACGATTAGGTCGGCGCAAAGTTGTATGGGTTGGGAGAACCTGAATTGGAGAAAGTAGTGGGCTAAATACAATAGAAACGGAGGAACTATGTGCAGGGGAAGAAGAAAGAAGATTGGCGCCATTGGTTGCAAATTGTCGCTTATCCACCCCAATGTATGCAGCAGTGGAAGCGACACTTTTCTTAAGGCCGCTGTGCGATGGCTGATGCAGCATGGATTTAAGTACTTGATGTTGGATTAGAGTAATGCTAGGGCATCCACAGCCGATCGGAGAACGGCTGGGATCCTCGGCCAAAGTTTTCCATAAAGTAGGCACCCACAAGTTAGCGGGCCGTGCAATATGAGTCAGTGAACCTGCTCATGCGATATATGTGTTTCCAGGATGTTAGCTAGAAGAAGGGTGTAATCCGTCTCCCACCCAGCACTCGCCACGTGAAGGCGTCCAGGACATAAGCCCCACGCAGCAAAATTGGGAGCATCGCGCCGACTATATATATATATATATATATATATATATATATATATATATATATATACCACTTGGCATATTGCAACGTCAAATAGATAAACTACTTTAGGTGAGAGGGAGAGGAAAGTTGCCCAAGACAACTGTAAACAAGGTAAAACGGTCTCTCAATAAACTTGTCATTGCGTGTGAGATCCTGTGAGATCCTACGAAAGCTTTCAGCCAGGCGTGCTTTTGGTATTTGCCCCCCCCCCTCAAACCTGGGAATCGTTGTCCATCTTGCCTTTGTTTTCAGCTTACTTCTGCTTGCTAAATACTGCAGGGTGAAGTAAACTCTGAGCTTGTATACGGAGCAGATTTCTGAGTCATTGTAGCATGTGCGATGAAATCATGCAACTCAGCAGTCAGTAGTCTGTCTGGTTTCAAAATTCCACAGCGAGCCTGGTCTACGTAAGTGATTTTGCCATTCCACAAGCAACCAACAGAAGACAACGGTGATCAAAAACAGATAACCTCTGATCGTTAAAGTTGGACTTGGAAAATACGCTGTGTGGTCGGGTTGTAACAAGCAACCTCTATTGAGACTTCGGTTCACTTGAGGTGGACCTCGGTCATTCCTATCGCAATGACCGAATGTCAAATGGAAATACTTTGGCCTTGATCATCCCAACACTGGCAGTCCACAACCGCGGTTTCGTCCCGGTTTGGACTGATCAGGTGGAGAGAGACTGAGTTGGGCTGGCATAGTGTTTATGGTATTAGCCGCGAACCACTTGGCTCTGATTTCCACCCCAACTCAGGCCATCTCCAACTGATGAATCCAAACCAGGACGAAAGCGCTGTCGTGGGGTGTCAGCGTTGGAATGAGCAACACAAAATTATTCCCATTTCAACCTCTGATCGTCTTTTGCTCGGACAATCTAAGTCTCACAGCCACGGTGTGAAGCACTATAATTGTAACACCATAGACTCGGCTTTTCAGAGAGAAGCTCAGGTATTCACTTGAGCTGATTTACATGTCGCTTTCGTCTTGCTGATATACTTCAGCGCAGAACTGACTATGGAAGTCCGAAGGATGTCATTTTCACAGACATTGTCAGACTGCGGTACAATAATGCAACCAGTAAAATGACGAAAATATTGGAGTAGCCATAGTAAAACAAAACTGTACACACACGATTTGCGATCCACGCCAAAGTGCCTTCATGTATTGCTGTAGACTAGACGTCAAACGGCACCTCAACAGTAGAACATTTAAGGTTACTAATAAAATACAACATGTTTCGGCACAACGGTCGTCGAAACCCTCAAGGATTATTTTTTTAGTAGATTGCTTGCTGCCACGAAAGCTTTGGCTAAATGCAGTGGTGCTTATTGTTTCATAAAAATGTCCTTGATACAAACTAAACTCATGGAGCAATTAATGATAATTCATCAACAATTTTTAATGCAAAATGCCTTACTAGCTTCTGTTTATGGTATCCACTGGAATTTGGTTCAAAGCTGAGGTTAACTTGATTCGAATGCCGTAATAATGGTACTTAGAATTCCCTCTGAAACGGTAAATAAACAGGTGAACATTCAGTGCGTTGCATATTTGGGATCGTTGCATGAGTGGGATTATCGCTTAAGCTCTCACTTACCGAGTTCCTAGCCGACGTGTTCGAAGGCCCAGGAATATTGACCGAATCAGCTTCCCAAATGAAGCAGGATTCATTGGTTCTAGCCAATGCTGTAAACAGTGATCGAGGTAATGGGAATAAAGGGCGCTTCTCGACAGGCTCACACCTTCTGCGGATTCGTAGTTATCCACCAGCCACTGAATCTGAAACGCATGTAAGAATCCGGGCAGCGAAATCGGATGCATTAATCAGGTAGGAAAAACCTGCCCAGTTTGGGGTGCACTAAAACGTTTAAGCCTTATCCTTATGCATGCAATGAACTTTGTTAGGGGACTAAGCTTGCGTGTTAGCAGTTTGGGTCTTCATGGACATGCGTTTTCCATAGAAACAGGAGTAAGGCAGCCACATACATTTATGGATTTGTTGCGCCATTTCATTGGCTAATCTGAGTGAGTAAACGCAGCTCATCCGTTAACTTATAAAACAGATGATAACAAGCGGCCAGGCTTGTTGGCTAATCAGACATTTTTTGGCAGACACGATTGCATCAAAACACATAAAATATAAGCAGAATATCTTCCTAATGAAATGTTATGGTGGAGGACCGAAGTCGGGTATGGCTGCACTGTATTATGGTTGGCGGCATCCGTTTCCAGATTTGCCTGTCACTGAGGCCTTCACGGGACAGCCAGTAGAATCCTACGCACACAGGGTGACTATGTGTAGCTTGCGCTTCACCACCTACGGCTCCATCCACCCGAAGGAATAAGGCCGGGAGGCACTTGGTTGGGAACCAAGTTTCATCAACGGAATCGGCCCACATTCCTTCAGAAGCAAACACATGAAAGTTGTTGTTGAGAATCAAACGCACACAAAACGGTGGCTGGACCGTGGTCCGCTACACACTGAGTGTGTAGAACCACTCTTCGAGTCTAGCACGGCCACGAGGGTCGTGCATACCGTCCCCTCCAGCAACGATCAACTGTCTCCTAGAGCCAGTATGGAGGATACAGTGGGCAATAGACAGCAGGCAATTGCCAACGTGCACATCAAGCACAGCCACACCGGTGATAACAAGCAACAGCCAATAACTTGAATCGATAAGATGAAATACAACAAATCAGATGATGCATACCAATATGGCGGTATAACTTTTCAATAAATGGGTGTATACATATATATGCAACGGTCTACGAATAGCCAGAGACATCAGAAGGCATGCGACTCAAAAGATGATACAAAAATAGTGAAAATAACGCAATACAACACATTAAAATATATGGTTTCGTCAGACGGCGAGATACTACCCGGTTGCCGAAGTCGAGGTACCTACCCGGTCGACATAGCCGAAGTAGAAATGGGTGAATAAAATAAATTAGTCACGAACTAAGCCGCGATGAGTTCAAGACGGCAGAAGATATATTACAAGAAAATGCCACAAACGCGAAACTGTTATCGAAAGTAAATACAGTTAGCTTCAGCGACGTGTGCACTTTTATAGAAGATAGTACAAGCAGACATTTGAATGCGAAAGAAAAGCGTTAGGACAAAATTGAAAACGCACCACTTGAAGTAAAGAGACTTAGCATGCAAGCACGCGGTTAGTAAATCGAATGCAGCGTACCTACAAACACTGCGCCCGTTCTGCTAACTTCACTGCAGGACCCGTCTTCCCTTCGGTAGTGGCCCCGAGTGGCCTCGCTCATGGCTCACTAGGCCTGCCTGACTAGTGCACTCGCGACCGCATGTGCTACGGCACCATGCGCTCGATATCGATGGACTACAACCCATCGGCACTTGCACTTCCGCACTTTCCGCTTCTTCTCTGCGTGTATGAGGTCTTTCTCCCAAACTTCGGCAACTGCCTTTGTGATCAGATCGCGCCATGCACGCCGATCAATCGCCTTCGATTCCCATAACCTGCAATAAAGATTAGGACGTGAGAGGCTCACCTTGATCATGTCCTGGTAACGTTATTATGGTTTCCCCACATACCGCTTCCCAATACTCAGCTGACCATACAATAGTTGTTTCGGTATCCGTGTCGAATCCATACAGCTCACATAACAAGCCACCTCAGGTGTCTCAGCAAAAGTATGCAGTCCACGGCATACATCCCACTTCCGTGTCAACCAGTTTGTCGAGCTATCTGATGAATAGAAGTCTTCGCAAACGTTGTCGATGGAACCGCTCGAGATATCGCACATCCCGCCGGGACATCGTCCACCTTTCACTGCAGTATAGAGGAACGGACAACACCAAGGAGATGTAAACTATCAGCTTTGTGCCAATGGTAAGCTGATGGTTGTTTCACACTCGGTACTCTAGCTTCCCAAATGCCGCCGCTGCCATCGAGACGCGGATATGAAGCTCACTGTGTAGCTGCTGATCAGTCGAGATCACACTCCCAAGGTAGAAAAAGTGGGAGTTGATTTCCAGTACTTCGTCGGCCAATGGCCGAGTGGTCTGCACGTTTGGTTTGCAAATATAAGATCCCCGGTTCGAATCCGCTTGGGGATGGGCGTCCTCGCGGTATACTCAGGCCGCGCGTGACTGATGGTGGTCGCGCAGCAACCAAGGGCTTTTACGGCGTACAGCTGACACATTATTTATTATTATTTCCAATACTTCAGCACTAATGGTGATGCGCGGCAAGATTGAAGATTGCACCTCCGGTGAATGCTGAATGAGACAGACGTTTTGATTGTGTTGATAGTGAGCACGAATTTGGTCGCTGTCGTCGCCAGAGCGCTAGTCATGTGCTGCAACTCATCCGCGTTCTATGCAAACAACGCATAGTAGTCCGCAAACAGCAACATACAGATAGTTATCCCACAGAAAAGCGTTCTCCAACTGAAACGACGGATGTCCAGCAACCCGCCGAACATCGTAAGCACAAGCGGCATCAAGAGCACACGATATCATTGCATGAAAATATATATTGAATAGGACAGGATGTAAGACACAGCTTTGCTACACACCAGAGTAAACTGTGAGGTCATTCGAGGTCTCTCCATTCAGCTGCACCCTCCTCCGCATACCAATATGCAGACATTTACTTAAACTTAAAAAATTACGAAGGCAACCAAACTTACCCTACACCAGCATCAATGCCTCGCGGTTCACCAAATCAAATGCCTTGGTAAAATCAACAAACAGCGAGTACAACGACTGGTGTCGTTTTCTGCACTTATCCTGCAACTGAGAAGCAGCAAACACCATATCTATAGTGATGCGACCAGAACGGAATCCACACTGCTCTTCCGCCACGTTAGGTTTCACAACCTGATTGACGAGGCGGTTGAGCAGTATTCGGGCAATTACCATGCCCATGCAACTCAGCAAGTTGATACCACGATAATTCGTGCAACATCGCTTGCTCCCTGTGTCCTTGTACAGTGGTAGCAAAAGGGCATCATTCAGTTCAGGAGGCACCTCCTCCTCAATCCACACACGTTCCACCAACTGGTGCAGCGCAATCACCAACGCGTGTCCGCCGTGTTCCAACACTTCAAGCGGGATCCCGTCGGCCCCGGTATACTTGCAGTTTCGCAGCTGAGCAAGTGCTCTCTGCATCTCATCCAGTATCGGCGTGTCTGCCAGACTCGCCTTCACATCGTACCGCTTAAAACGGTTCAACGTAGATTCGGCGATTTTCAAACGGTTGTTCAAGAGACAGTCATTTGTTTCTGCCAGATCTGCATTATGTCTGCATTCTGCGTGCATATAGCACCTGAACCACCATCAACCAGCGTTCTCAGCGGCTCCATCCTCGGTCCATACACTGCCATCGTAGAGTCAAGGAATTCCTTGTGTTGGCGTCGTTCGGCGTAGCATGCCATCTGCTTCGCCATCTCCGTCCACCATGCATTTTTAATGCGACGGAGCTCTCGGGTCAGTCGCCATCCTAGTTTGCGAAACTGACACTTCTTCCTCAAGTCACTGGGGTCTGCGACATGTGCAGCAAATGTTGCATTCTTCTCCGACACCAATGCACCAATTGTCGCATTGTTCTCATCAAACCAATCAGGACGCTGACAGTTTGCGCGCCCGATGGTCTCCTCTGCAGCGGCTGCCACCTGGTCGCGAAGATGGTACCACAGGTTGCCCATTGTGGCTATACAGTCCACATCACACAGGCGCGCAGCCATCGCCTTCTCCAGCTCAATTCGTTTCGCCGCAGTACCGAGGGAGAGAATATTATAGTTACGCCTCCGGTTTGCGGAGGGAGTGCAATATATAGATTTACGAAAATATATGTACAGTTTGGTCCAGAACAATTTGTGACCAATGCTGCACTCAGCTCCACGCAGTACACTGTCATGCTCACTCCACGCATATCACGCTGACGTACGGTGACATAGGCGAGCAGGTGAGCCTTGCTACTCCGTGGGCGCATCCAAGTTGCTATATCACTCGCATTCAGTGCAAACCGAGTGTTCGTGATTGTCAGGCCTTGAGTGGCACGCGGTGAGAGCAGCCTGCCACCGTTCGCATTGGCTGAACCGATGCCACGCAGACCGTTAACATCTGTTCACACCGATGTATCACGCCCGACGCGCACGTTGAAATCACCCAGCAGAAATGATCGGTCGCTCCTCGGCACAGATCGTATCATGGAGGATATCTGAGTGTAGAATTGATCACTCGTGTCATCAGGATAACACATGGTCGGACCATACGTGCTTATATAGTCGGCAAATTTCCCGCTTCCGAGTCGTAAGCGATCAGTTATCAGTGGCGCGCTGATACCTGTTGGTTCACCCACGAGCTGGCCATGGAGGCGATCGGATATTGCAAATCTGACCCCATGTTCACGTGGTGCTGAGGCGGTGTTGCCCAGCCAGTGGAATGTGCAGCCAGCACATGCCTAATGCAACGTGCCTTGCTCAGCGAGCTGGGTTTCACTGAGCGTCGCAATATCGATGTGGTAACGCGCCAGATCTCTCGCGACGAGTGCAGTGCGTCGCTCCGCGAGCTCGCTCTAGTTCCGGTTCAGTAGTGTGCGCACGTTCCAGCACCCGATGTTGAGTGCTTTGCGCGCAGGCATACGATTGTATTAGTGGGCGCTCGCACGCTAGGTGGCGGATGTGCTTCGGAGATTTGCTTGAGGGACTCCGCCCGGAGCAGTTGGCTCAATAGCCTGACCCATAAGGCAGTGGTGAGCAGATCCAACTTGGGAAGGTGATTGCAGGGACATATT